TAAATCACCTGTGGTGATTGCTTAAAATAAAGTTTAGATTTCTAGACCTACTCATGCCGTGAGGTTATATGTGAATCTGTGTTTTTAGCTAATAACGACTGCACACCTTCAGAAACACAGCAATGGAATTGAGTTTTAGAAAGATCTGAAGCTACCAGCCTCACCCACACCCCAGCAGAACCATTAGTCCATAAAGAGCAACTCCACCTTGACCTGAAATAAGAAACATGCACAGATAAGCATTTTTAAACTCCTTACTTTGCCTTATTTCCTTCCATATCAGAAAACATTTGCAAATCTATCCTGTGTCTTACACACAGCTCTCCACGTGTTAGGAAAGTTTCTTAAGAGTAAAATGCTAGTACCACTGGACAGCAAATATGCAGACCTGATTTACTAAGCAAGTCACCAAACACCACGCCTCAGTCTCCTCGGCCACACATTTATCTCTGAGGATCCCTCCAGGTTCAAGATTCTCCGAAGTCTCAAGTAAATAAACATTGCACTTGTGATGCTTTAGATCTAGATATGATTCATTGTATCTAGGCCTCAATTTCCTCCAGCAAATGTGAAAATGACTTCAGAGGAAGAGGACTGATAGAACATAGCATCAACTCCTAAATGATAAATTATTTCACACTCTCCCAGACAGTTTCAATAGAACCAACGTCAAACTCAGGCTTTACCATTTACCATGTTAACTGAGGAAAAGTTTTTGTTCTCTCTTTGCCTCAGTTTCCTCATCCCTAAAGTGAAAGTGATCATAGGGTTATTGGAGTTAAAGATTGCAAATAAAGTCCCTGTCGCTATAAAGAAACTCAGTATTTAATACATTAAGTTCCTTCTCATTCCTGTCTGGTGAGGTACCTTTCATGGAATTCCCAATTCAAGATCATCCCAGCATGTGGTTAGTAACTGCCTCTGCCATGACTATTGTTCTCTTCTAATAACAAAAGCCACAATGCTTATGAATAATTCCTGCATCCTAAGTGCTTTAAGCATGCTGCCTTGTTTCCTCCTCACAATCATCTGTAATCATAACCCTATTCTTCAGATGATAAAAATGGTGAGATAATGCCCTCCCACAACCACCCCATTACTGGAAAGGTCAACATCACACTCAGGTAGCCTGGCCTCGAGCCCCAACACTTCATAATTACATAATGGCCCCTCACCCTCAGGTAGGGACCACCTACCCCATTATCTCAGTATGTCCCACACAACAGCAAAGACATGTGAATGAACAGACCACACCCATTAAACTCATTCTCATGTAACTGCAAGTTCAGACTGAGTTCTCCTTCCAAAGCTGCTTGTGAAAACCTGCCCTGGGAAACCTGCCCACACACTTCACTAATTAATCTGCTTTCATAAAAACTGTGGGACTGATTTTGATCTACAAGTCATGAAACTTATATTCAGGAGCTTTGTTGCCACCAAAATGAAGTGGATGATTTTTTTAAGTTTTTCAGTTAATATCTCAAATCTAAGAAATAATGATTTTCCATATTCCTAGATCACGATGAAAAACAAGATACTTCATAATCAAGGTGAGAAAAATAGAAAAACAATGAAGAGCAAAGCATAAATTTAAACTTAAAAAATAAAAGGTAAACATACCATTAACTCAACAAGACTTTAAGACAAAAAGAAAAATCAAGTTCCAGAAGGATTAGAGACATTCAAAGCATATCTCACCCTGATGGGAAGTGGGCTTTTGGCATCATAAGTAAATAAACAGTGCCTCCAGGCCAGTGGGCACTCACCAAGAGATGGAGAGAAAGGGTATGTTCCCTATTCTTTGAATCAAATCTTGCTCAGGAATAACACAGAAAGTTAACAAATAAAAATTTCAGGTTTACAAGAAGGGGAAAGCAGAAATTATGGTTTTCTAATGGAATTACTATACAAAATAATGCAATTATTCCACCTGTCTCAAGAGGTAAGACAGTTCTCATTTACAATCTATGAATTCAAATGTCCTTAACTTTTTTCCCCCTTAATTTAGCATGGAACTCCAGGACAGAACCACAGTAGGGTGGTGAGATAAAGGGAATAGGGAAGAATAAGGAGAGAGATAAGGGGAGAGATTCTCCACCCAACAATCTAGTCTGACCTGATTTCAAATACAGAGAGCTACTCCATCTTTTCTCCTCTCTGAGTGCTGAGAATTAGTGTTTATTTAACCAACTCTTCTGTATAGAAGAAGGAAAGATTATGAAGTAGTTCTATTCACTATCCAAATGATGATGGTAGTGATCGTAATAATAACATATACACTTCAATACCTGAATGTCTCCACTAGAAATGTATTAATATACCTTTGGAGAACTCCTCAAAGTGTTATGGAACACTTTTCTTAGGAAAAATATTCACACACAAACACACCCCATAGATGATTCCGAATAATTTTAAATTGTGTATTGAAAAATTATTAAATTAACTATGGTCAATGCTGCTGGCCTCAAGTGGAAATGTACAAAATTTTTTCCCATTTGTGTTTAAAAAAAAAAAACCTCTTCCTTAAAAACAAGCATACTTTCTCTGCTTTTTGAAAGTATATTCTACAATCAAAAAGGTAATTGTTATTGCTGACACAATTAAGGTAAAAACGCACTCTAGTTATGGTGAAACACTGTCCTGACCTTAGGATTTCTAAGATCAGGACTTACAGAAACAGTCTCTCAGAACCTGTCCCCTCCTTATCCAGCTCTTCTAGAAGATGGATCTTAATTTAAAAAAACAAGCTTTCCTTAGAGACCCTCATAAGAAAATGCTGAAAGATCCAAACCTAAAATGCATTTGTTTGTATTTATGTGGCAAGGGATAAAAGATTGAATCCTAGAAAGATCCAGACCCCACTAACTTATACGTACTCCTTTATCCACTATTGTTACAACTGGAGGAGTCAGGTAAAGGAAAGGATGTTGAAGACAGGGAAGGAGAAACATCTTGATCCTTAAGACCAAACATTCCAGGAAGCATCTGCTCTGCGAACAATGACCTGCTGCCTCTGATAATAGATTTAACATTCTCCTTTGAAAGGAAAGTGTACCCAGCAATGGTATTTTCAATGAAACTATATGTAAAAGAGTCACAAACAACTTTTTCTGCTCTTCCTGTGCAAAGATCCATTCTGCTCCCAGGATGATGTCATCTGACCCAGTCCTGAGTCATTTTGCCTTCCCAGGGGCATATGACTGACTCTCCTCCTAGAAAAAAATCTGAGAATAATATTAAAAACCAAGCCACAATAACACACAATCATAGTGTTGGCACTGTTTGCAGAAAAGAGGAGAGTCAGAGAAAACTGCAGAAAAGACAATACAGAAGAAGTTCTAGAGTAAGAGTATATTTACAAACATCCAAGCAAAGCCCAAATATTTATCAAAATCATCCATATTATTCTGGACTTCTGCATTGTAGAACCACAATGAAAATTCTTCATTATTGGTGTTTATTCTTAATGAGTTATCTATTATTTATTCTTAATAATGGATGTGGCATCACCTTAAGTACTGCCCTCTGTGACTTAGTATGTCAATATCATAAAGTCATGATTCATTTCATTTCAAAAAGAATACTTCAGTAATATAACTAGAGTTCTGTCCATTATATAAAAAGGAAAAGAAGTGTCCTGCATCTTCCTCATCAATGTTATTACTACTTATAATATCAACAGTTGCTTAATGGATGCTGCCAACTGACTTTAAATTTATGATTTTTGTTATCCCCATTTTAGAGATAAAGGCACTAAGGCTCAGTAAAGGTAAATAACCTGCCTAATATCAAGTTCCAAAACTCAGCCTTCTATGTTAAGCACTAATTTACACTTCCTCTCCAGGAAGCAAGGCCTTCCACTTTCCTGACATTACTCTTATAAAAGACAAAGTAGCCCCGCCCTGTACACATCTCCTTTTCCTGACTCCTACCCACCCACTCAGTCAACTTCCAGTGGAGAAAGAACAGATAAACTTTGATTTTTATCTCCTTTCAGGATGGTGTTCATTTCTCTATGCTGGTAGAGGATAAATATTTGTGTAATGAACTGTTGTAGAATCCCATCCACCCTACATTATGTGACCTTAAATGATATTTTAAAAAGATAACACAACAGTATACAAATTTGTCTCAATTTCTGACTTCTAACTAGACATCTAAACCTGCTTCTAGTTAACAGTGTTTAAAGTTGGATGGAAGGAGTCTAGGTGATTTTGGTTTATTTCCTTTATTCCCAGTCTTTGTCAGGTTCTAATCCCTAAGTACATATTACTCTGAATTTAAAAATAAAGGTTTGTTTTAAATTTTTTAAGTAGATATTACCACCAAAATTATTTTTCCCTTGTTACTGAAAAAAAAAAAATCATTGACCCATTTAATCCTGGACCAGCTTTAAATCCAAAGTTGAAAGAAGATACATGGGTTCTTTTACTCCTCTTTTACATCATTTTTGTAACTTTCCTATAATTTTAAAAAGTAAGGTATTTTTTTTAAAGTAAGGTATATCCCATAAAACTTATCTTTAACTATTATGTAGCTTTTCTTCCCAAGGTGTATTTAGTAAAATCTTTTGCACTCAATAAAATAAGGCCTTGTGTCAGACAGTTAACTATGTCCATTTCTTCTTCTAGGGCACACACTGGCCGACATTCCCCAGCCTCCCTGCAGCCAAATGTGACCACCACAGAGGAGCAGAAGTGACAAGCACCACTTCTAGCCCTAACACATGATACCTCCCAGATGAGAAAGCCTATGTTCTTCCTCTGCAGACTTAGAAACCACCTGTTGGTGATGGGAGCCACAAGGTAGAAGGAACCTGGGTCTCTGAATCTCCAACTGCAAGAGCACCCAGAAACACCATTTTGAATTTTATCTAAGAATTAAAAGCATATTATGTAAGTCACTGTAAATTTGGGTTTTCTGTCACCCAGTGTAACCCAAGGCTTTACTACCAGATTCCAATTATTACCACCAAAAGGTTAAGATTCTGTTTATCTTACCTTTTTCAAAGACTTCTTCTGCTTCCAGAACAGAGGTAGTGAGGTTTGCTGCCATCTTAACCACTTCAGCTTTCACCAGGACTTGTGAGGGGCTGTGTTTCAGAAGTTCCACCCCAATAGTCACATTTCCCCCAGGCCTGATGATTCCAGGGGCAGTCACCAGATACCTGGGCCTAAATAATCACCAACAAAGTTTCTTATCTTTACATCTCCATTATTTTGCAATTTTTTAAATTTCAGAGGCAGTGAGAGAGAAGCCCTATACTGGGCCAATTGCAATTGCTCCAATTAATGTTGCCCACTACTCCATTTAACACTGAAATGCTACTGAAACAACAATCCCCAGTAATCAGTTTAGTGTAGTAATTCCTGCACCACTACAGGAAGGCCTTGTTATTATTTCCATTATATAAACCATAAGGTGCCCGGGATGAGCCTCAGTATGTGGTTTTACAGAGGGCATGCAGAAGGTATTGGCAAAGTACACGCCTTTAACACCACTTTAGAGCAGATCTCACCCAGACAGTGATTTTATTCTTGCCCTAAAAATAAAAAGACAAATATGCAACACACGAGGATTTTTGCCTGTTTCTTATTCAAGATTTATCCTTAGCATCTGCCCAAGAAAACATCATATAAAAGTACCACTGACTGAAATATACCACCTGACATTAAACTCTCCGCAGTGAAATTTCGAGGAGAAGCGGAGCATAAAAATCCTCAAAACTGCATTTCCTCTACTCAGCCTCAGGATGAAGGCTCAAAATCTTTAGGAATGTGACTCTTTCTATTATGTGGATGTCATGTCAGTTATTTTCCTACAGTGTCTACAACTAAATCCAAACTTTGGTAGCCTCAGCCACACTTTGCCGGCTCCAAAGTTGAGACATCTCTTGCAGAGAAAATACCTATCGTATGTTTTGGAGGGAAGACATGATCGTTATTTGGAAACTTTTTAAAATGAGGGAAAAAAAGAGCCAACATGCTCTAAAATTAAATAACTCTCTGTAGAAAGCAGAAATGGGGGCTTCCCTGGTGGCTCAAGGGGTTAAGCCTCCACTCCAAGAAGCTCTCCGCGGTTCTGCGGCCACCACAGCACTTGTTCCATACCCCACGCCAGGGAGCTGAGCCAATGGCACAGCAGACCTCTCGTGTTCCGTACCCCGCGAGAGGTCTCACCCACTGCTCCCCTCAAGAGTGCATTGAAGGGAGCTGTTCTGCTCCTCACTGTCTCTGGTAAATGCTCTCATCCCATGCCCCTCTGGCCTTCACCCCAGGTCTTGTATGCATAAGTATATAAAATAAATCTTTTTAAAAAAGGCAAGCAGAAGCGGTCAGATGGCCGCTCTACCTACATGGGTGGAGGAGGTCAGCCCCTAAGAGAACCACTCGAAGCACAGCAGGTCAAGCCTCCAGGCGGGGTCCCCGCTGGAACTCCCCGGCCGCCCGCAGCCCTTGCCCTGGCAAACCGCGCCCGCCGTGCGGTCCCCGCGCACGACCCCCACCCCCGCCACGCGCGCGTGCGTCCTACCCGGGGTCTGCGGCCAGCGCCCAGGCGCACACGCAGAGGAGGTGGGCGGCGGTCAGCAGCCGTGGGCCCCGCATCTCCGAGGCGTCTGCCCCAGCAACTGTCGGCTGCAGGGGAAATTCGCCGGCGCTGCGGGGTGTGGCTTTCCACCTCCTCCCCGCCTTTTTTCCCCGGACTCGAATTTAGCAATCTGAAATGGGCGCGCCTAGCAGCGGAGTGAGATCTAAATTGAGACGGCACTCGGTGACGCCACCCCTCCCACCCTCATCACAATGGCGCTTCTCGGCTCTTCTCACAAACATCGCAAAACCAGGGGGGTGGAAGTGGTTTCCAACTACCGTCAGGCCGACCTGGCCCCATCCCTGTTCCCCAGGGAGAATACAGGGCGCCCACTTGCCCAGCCCACCCGGTTCCTCAGGCTGGTTAGACTAGCTCTCTACCATCGATGCCCAGAGTGAATCAACAGGCCATCCTTGTGAGGAGAAATTCATAGCAGCTATGTGAAGTGGAAAAAATATCAATCATTGTCCTCCAGACTATGAGTCAGAATTTTAGAGAAATGGCAAACACACAAACACAGAGGCCAAAGAGGGGTGTATTTGCTGAATAGTTGTTTAGTGTGTGTGAATGAACACAGGAGGAAAACATTTTTCCTTACAACAAAAAATGAGGTATATTGTCTGCCATTCCAGGAAAATGTTGTGATTCCTCACTTTAAAAAAAGGAAGGGGCGTGGAGGGGGGGCGGGGTGGAGATCTACAGATGCAAGAGTTAGGCGTTGCTACTTGGTGCTCTGAGAAACAATTATCTGCGGAGATGCCTTATACTTATGGCTGAAAATAAATTCATTTGCCACATAAATTTTTCATTAGCCGGTAAAACTTGGAGCAATCTGTATACACACAATTAAGAGGGAGGTAGTTCTCCTGTCCCCTGAAGGCCAATGGCTCCAAGTGCCCAGTAGTTACCCATGACCCAACTCTTCAACCCTGGCATCTCTGCAGCTCCTTTTCCCGTTCTTTGGCACTGCCACCATCCTCTCATGACTCAGGTTTCACCATGACTACACCATAAAAGCAGGGAACTGCCAGAAACTGCTGGAAAACAGCACATTCAGTCCCTGAAAGCTTAATCTTCCTAGTTCTTGAAGAAAAGTTTGAGACTGACGTTTTTAATACAGTGCAAAATACAAAGGAAAGAAGGTCAGCAAAGGGATGACACAGCTATGTGCTAAATAAGGATGAAAGTAGCACCTAGACAAGCTGTGGTTTTTGGAGCCCAGGAACTTGCCTTCCTCCCTTTCCTGTTCCACCCTTTTTCACCCTGGTGAACAGCTTGCAGAGGTCTCTTAAGTACTTATGTGTCCTACAGGCAGACTATCTTTAGGGCCCTACTTCCTGTGCAGGCAGGGCTCGGTATAGTGAAAAGTGTTTTGAGTGGACCATTTGGTATAGATCCTGTCCCTAACACCACTGTTTGTGCTGTCTGGTCTCCTTAACTCTTACTCAGACAGGAGGACCAGGGTCAAAGTGTCAAGGTCTCAATCAGTCTTTCTCAAACTATAATGTATATGGGAATCACTTTTAATATGCAGATGCTGGTTCACCAAGTCTGGAATGGGTGCTGAGATTTAGCTTTATTTCAGCATACAGTGGACCACCAAGGGCCTATAGGTAGAGACAATTTGGGGGTAGGTGAGTGAGAAAAATAAATTGGGAATGTGGAGCAAATTCTTCTCAGGTTTCATTTCACAAAATGGATCAATAAATTCAGGCTTATTCTAGAAACAGCAAATTTTGTTGTTGTTGACTTTGCCATTTTTTTTAAATAAGGTTTTTATTGAAGAAACACGGGTTTACATCATTGTTAGTATTGTGGAAGTATAGAATCTCCCCCTTCAGGTGTAGTCTCCATTACACACCCAACATCAAGGTACCCGTGATCCTCTACCATAGTCCACTGTGCCCTCTCCCTACCCTATTCTTATATACTCTCCCTCTCTGGATGCCTCAGCTCTACGGTCAGTGTTCAAAGGCTGGTTTTAGCATTTGTCTTTGTCTGATACTTTGGTTTCTCTATGTTCTACAGATAAATGACACCATCTGGTATTCATCTTTCTTCTTCTGGCTTATTTCACTTAGCATAATCCCTTCCAACTCCAACCACGTTGCTGTAAATGGTATGATTTTATCTTTTTTGATCATTGAGTAGTATTCCACATCATCTTGATCCACTCATCGGTTTGGAGACAGTTTGTTTCCATAGCTTGGCTATTGTAAATAGTGCTACAATAAACATAGATGAGCATGTTTCCTTTCTTACTACTACTTTTGTATTGTTTGGGAAGTGGGAAAATTGTAAGAGGAACTCCAAAAGATTACTTGATAATGTTGCATTCCAGGAAGACTTCTAAAAGGATTTGGAAACACCTAATTGTTTTTTAGAAGTGAATTCACAGATTTTAATTCTGTAGTACATAGTTATTAAAAAACTTAACCATTGGCCCTCCCTGGTGGTGCAGCAGGTTAAAGTGCAGCACTAAGTTGCTAAAGCCACTTCAGCATGAGTTCGATCCCCACCCAGAAGGTGACCCATGTGGTGCAGCAGACCTCTCCTGACCCGCCCACTGCTTCCTCTCAGCAGTGTAATTCATCAGTATGCCTGTTCTGCTCCCCATGCTGTCTCTTGTGAATCCTCTCACTGCCCTGCACTTGCGGCCTGTCCCCAGCTCTGTATGCATAAATAAATAAAAATCTTTAAAATAAAAAAAAAAAACTTAACCATACAGAATGTTAACCATGTGGTGAATGGGGCTGGAAAAGATCATGCTTAGTGAAATAAGGCAGAAAGAAAAGGAAAAATACTGGATGGTTTCACTCAGAGCAGGAGTATAACGGACCAGGCAAGAAAATAATAATAATAATGAACAGCCATATACCAGAGACATTTTATGGGGGTGGAGTGGGGAATGGGATCAAAACCTGTGAGGGGAAGGAAATGCACTGGGTTATAGTGATGGCACCTGGGTGATTCGGTGATGGGAAGCCCATGGGAATTACAACTGATAGGAAAAAATGAACAAAATGATGTAAGAATAAACTATAAAAAATAAGTTAACCATGTGGATTTGTATAGAAATGAAGCTATTAAATGCCTGGCACAGAGTAGTCACTCAATAAAAATTGCTTAAATGACTAATTAAAAACACTCCTTTCATGAAGACTGAATGATTCGTAGTATAAGAACTCCATGATTTTCCTTTCTGTCTCCTGACCTATCTTTTTGGTGTCATTTAATGAGAAAAGCAGAAGAATGAGAGATCTCAAAAACATAGTTGTTGTTTAAAATAATTAAGAAAAATTTAAAATAGGCCAAGCACCTAACAATAAGAGATTGGATTAAATAAATTATGGTACACTGATGTAATAGAATACCGTGAAGTAATTTTAAATTTTATTCTTGAATTGGAGATTATTTGTCTAGGAATAAATAATTAGTGAAGGATCTGTTTTATGAAGCAAATTTAAATGTGATTACATTTTTATAAAAGTAGAGTGTGCTGACTTGTACATATCCATTATGGATATATGCACTGAAGAAAGACTTGAAGGACACTCACCAAAATGTTATCAGTATCCTCATAGTAGCCTATATCTACCAAGTTTTCTACACTGATTAATTCATCATTTAAAAAGACAACAAACATGATATTAACTTAGTAATTAGTCTTAAAGGGGGCATCTTAGAAGCTCTTTTGAATAAAATTAACAAATTTTGATACCAAAAATATTATGTATGTTCTTCTCATGAAAACTGACTGATTTTTGGCATAAGAACCCCGTGATTTTCTTTTGTCATCTCCAACCTGTTTTTATGGTGTCATTCAATGAGAAAAACAAAATAATTATAAAACAGATCCCAAGCAATCATTGGAAATAGTGCAGCAGTCATTGGTTCTGTTTTTAAGGTGGACCTAAAATTTCTCTAACTTTCCCAGGGGAGAAATGCTAGATGTGGATGAGAATGTGGAAAGACAAAGAAGTCTCTTTTAACCACTTTCAGCTTTGAAGGAGAAAATAGTCTTCCTCCCCCAGAGTCACATATATACTTGGCCCAGAATTCAGAAAATCTCAAAGAAGAGATCCTCTCAAGTGAAACATATAAGCCCACTGCCCAACAACCACAACGTAGTCAGCAGATCAGCAACGACATAGGTGAATGGCACACCTGCCTAACACCTCTACAGTGACATTCGGAGAATTAAAAATATGGTTTCTGCTTCACTGCTGGCTTCCAAACCCACACAAAGTATCTCCTGTGGCCAACACCAACTCAGAAACATACAGAGAAGAAAATTCTAAGATTTAGCCCCACTTTAAGTAAGTTTGCACAATACAAAGGTACCAAGCTTCTGTCTTATCAACTGGGTACCTGTATATAGCCTTGTTAATAAAATTTAACTTCACACTGGACTATGGTGATGGCATATGGGTGATCTGGTGATTGGAAACCCAAGGGGGTTGTAACTGAGATGGAAAATTGCACAAAAATATGTAAAAATAAACTATTATAAATTTTTTTAAAAATTTAACTTCAAAGAAAGTCAACAGAAAAATATACATCCACTGGACCTCCCTGTTGGCGCAGCAGGTTGAAGTGCAGCACTAAGAAGCTCAAGCCACTTCCGCATGAGTTCGATCCCTACCTGCCCCGGAGGTGACCACATGGCGAGGCAGACCTCTACTGGCCAGCCCGCTGCTCCCCTCAGCAGTGTACTTTGTCAGTCGGCCTGTTCTGCTCCTCACTCTGTCTCTGGTGGCTCCTCCCACCCTCCGCATCTCTGGCCTGTACCCCAGTTCTATATGAATAAATAATAAATATATATATATATACACATCCATTTAACAAGATGCAAATATCACTCATTCAATCAAAAACTAATCCTTACACTAGAAGAGTTTACAAAGTCCACCTAGCCATCTTTGAATACTGTTTATGCCTCTCCTAGATCAATCATATTCTCCTTTTCAATCCTATAATTTCAATACTGATGTATAAGGCTAACTACTATGAATGTATATCAGATGGTAGATAAATGCGAGGAGGAAAAAATATATTGTTTAATAATGATTTAAGATCTTGG